GCTAGCCTGTGCGCCACCGTTTTCAGGGACACACTCTCGGCGCCTCCTCTGGGCGAATGTCTATGTTCTTCACTCTTTGTCTTCGAACATTGCCCCGCGATTCTTCCTCTCGTGCATAACGGGGAGCATTCCCCCCTCTTGAAATGCCAATCCCTTGTGGCGCAACGAATTTTAGCGGTTGGTTACAAGTGGAGGCCACTCCATTAAACAATGCCAACATGGGTCTGCCTAGTATCACATTGTATGGCGAGGGGCAATCCACAATTTCGAAATCCACCGCGTACGTTACGCGATGCACTTCATCGCCCAGTGTCGTGGGAAGGCACACTCACCCGATTACATGTGTGGGCGCCCCTGAGAAACCTATCATCACGGAGCTTGAGGGACTCACCAACTCAGGTGCTAATTGCATGCGCTCAAATGTGCTTTGAAACAAGACATCCATCGAACTAACGGTGTCCACCAGCATCATCTTCACCTTTCATCCCGCGATTACTCTTTATATCTCTAAGGCTTCCTCCAACGGGATTTGGCACGCCTCGTCCGGTCCCTGGCTGCAAGATGTTTTTCAGCGTATCGTTATATTGTGAGAAGTTCGCTGCGGTCCTTGGTGGTGGGTGTTGCGCCTCTGGCCTCCTCTGGGAACGTTGTTTCCCATAATTGGTCTAGGCTCCTGTCGCACATCAACCTCTTCTCCTCTTAGGCGCCTCTTTTTCGCCCTCCGAGCTGCCAATATTTCCTCTAGCATGATTACTTTCTGTACTCTCCGATCCAAGTCTTCAATATAAACAATAGCTCTCTTCGAGTTCACACGACACAGCTCTTCGCTACACGTGCAATCCTCAAGGCAAACTCCCAACACCGGGACTACACATCCTTGACCGCCATGGTGACCGAAATCCATCGATTATAGAATTCCCTAAGCGCTTCACCATCCCTTTGCTTTATCTTAAACAGGGCACCTATAGTTAAGGTCCGACGCTTCCGACTCGCGAACTTGGATAAGAACAGCTCTGCAAATTGCTCGAAACAGTCATTGAGCCCTTCCTCGATTTGATTGTACCAGTCTAAGACCACTCCCGCGAACGTGGACGGGAACACCTTACAAAGCATGGCGTCTAAGCTGTTGTACAGCTCCATCTTTGCGAAGTAGCTGTTAAGATGATGTTCTGGGTCGGTGACTCCGTCATAGCTCGACAATGGTGGGATCGTCGTCCCCGCTGGTTCCATTAAAACACTACCCGTTAGGGGTTTTCTAACAACAAAGCGTTTGGTTGGCCGCTTGGGCGTCCAGACGTTGCGCTCCTCAGGGCTGGACATAGCGGGCTCTACAGGCGCTCTCCATGCGTGTTGGCGCCTGGGGAGCATCAGTTCCTCACTTGGCCCCGTGCAATATGGATGCCCATACTGACTAGATTCCGAGTCGTCAAGCTCTCTATCCCGCTTTCTCATTGTTGGACTATACGTCCTCACATCTTCGCTCTGTCCCGCCGCTATGGCTTTTTCCTGATCAACAATGATTCGGAACAACTCCCTTTTTTTATAAGGATTAACTTTCCATGGCTGGGCGCCCATGGCTACCCTCCCCTTCTACTTCCATGCTCATCTCTTGGCCTGATTGATGCTCATTCTCCTCCTGATTGGAGCTCCCCGATCTTGGTCCGTCCTCACCCACATCTCCCTCATTCATGTCCTCCATGCGCCTAGGTTCGTGACCCCCTATCTGGCGCGCCAATTGTTTGAGCCAAGATACCCCGGTCACTCCGATCAAGATCTGGTGGACCCAACTCGCAGCACAGGCGCCGATACCCTGCAAAGACAAGCGCATAATGGGCTTTGGGAGGCCCGTTAGCACTCCAACACTCAAGTTAGTGCCAATTCTAGAAAGATAAGTATCGAGAGAAGTTTTTAGTGAGAGAATCCAACCAACATAAATGCCACCTACCGAGCACTATTTATACTCGTCGAGGTCCTGACCAAGCTCCTGGAATCCAGCCCTACGTCATCACGTCTCGGTATGACCCAACGGTCGGGCGCCTGTACGTGGTAGCTCTCGGACCTCCCTGTGGAGGCGGCTAGCAGGGACCACGCCCGCCAGGTGGCAGCTTCTCGGCTTTCCTACTCCGTACTCATTTGTGCCCGTACTCCATTTTGTCGCCATGCGCCCGTCCTCCCTAGTGTGGGTCTAATTCTTTTGTTTGGACTAATCTCCTCACTTCTTCCCATGGGCTTGGGCCTAAACAGGCTCATGTCCCGCTGGGGTTTGTTTATGTTGACCCAACAATTACCACTATATATGTACCACTTTCCTTTATCTCAAATTTTGAAAAAAATTCTTACATTAAAAACACAATTTTGCTTTTTACTATTCATTATCTGGTATTTTGGTAATTACACACAACTTTGGGAATTGAACTCTATGAGATCTAATCTCCCGTTGTTCCTCAGTAGCTCAGTGGTAGAGCGGTCGGCTGTTAACTGATTGGTCGTAGGTTCGAATCCTACTTGGGGAGATTTGATTCATTCCGAATTCTTTAATCTTTAATTCGGAATGTTCGGAATGAAGGGGTTCGCTTTGACCGTTAAGAGTAAATAACCCCTTTCCTGTGTCTTTATTTCTATTGCATTCTATCTCATCATATCACATTTTGTTCTGCGATATTTGAGAACAATGATCAATTGGGTTGGGTCCCACCCATTTTTCTAAAAAATTTCCTTTTTACAATAATCCTCTCACACAAGAAGAAATCAAATAAATTAATACCCGTCAAATACGTTTCCCCCTTTCTCTCCTCTCTTCTTCCATTTGATGCAATAATCTTCTCACTCAAGAGGAAACCACATAAATTAGTGTCCATAAAAAACAGTTCTACTTTTCTTTCTCTCGAATTCAAAGAAAAAGACAACAAAAAGCTATATACCACTCGCCGTGAAGCACAGGCAAGTGGGCATAACTAGCACGAAACGAACTTCTTTGTTCGTATTTGGTTTTTACTCTCTTATTTATTTCTTTTCGCTCGAACTCTAATATGAAAACAACTGAAAATTTCTTTTTTCTCCATGGAGAGCACAAGTGGAATGCGAACCAACGAAACGAGCTTCTTTGTTCGTATTTGATTTGGACCCATTGTATATCTCTTTAGTGATTTGCTAGATCCGAAAATACCCACAAGGTGGAACAACGGAGTCGCTATAGTACTACTCATTGAAGAACAAGAGAAGCATATTAATGATTTTCAAAATGTGTTTGTTGTTCCCCAATTGATATACCTATCCATTGGGTTACAAGCCCGTTTTTTATTGTTTGCTTCACCTTATTGCAAAATGTGTTTACTCGATTTTTATTTTAGCTTCTTAGATGTTCCTATTCATCAAATGAGAGCTAGGCCCGCATTTTTTGGATTTGTGTTCTTTACAGGTTAGCTTATATCTATTACAATCACATGTAACATTTCACATTACTTGCTTTACGCGAGCGTAGCTAGTGTTTATTAAATGTAGGCTGCAACTTGCTAGTGTTTATTAATACATGAAGATACATTATTAATACTAAAATTCTTTAGTTCATGATCGCTAATGATCTAATCCAAATTAGACTAGTTACATAAAAAGAGGGAGTTTATCATAATGTATTATGGCATATAAATTTTTGGAAAACAATGTTGAGAACCAAATATATCACTCTAGTATAATTTCAGGCTGTTCAAAGTAATGGAATATGTCCAAGGACGAATGGACTTGCATGGGGGCGCGAGAGTCTTCAAGAGGTTTCATAGTCAGGGACAGTGGCGGATACATGGAAATTTATGGGGTGTCCCGGGACACCTCTAAAATTTGAAAGAACTATTATCTAACCCCTGGTTGTAGTTTTGTATGAAAAAAGAAATTATAATTGTTAATCCGGGACGCCCGTAAAATTTGAAAAAAATTATTATCCTACTCTCGATAGTAGTTTGTGTAAAATTAAAAAATTATAAATAGTAGTTTGTGTTATTTAAACCTAGGACACTACTATTATTAAACATATTCTCTAGGTTGCAACTCATTTCTTGTTCTATTTAAACACTATAAAATAGTAAAAACATTATTCCTTATCCCCGACTATTTTCAAAACCTAACAACTAAACTAATTAAGGGTTATCCTTAATTTGAATTGATTTTATAGTTACACGGCAAGAGTTCAAAGTGTCTTTGAACTTTGAGTTACATAAAGAACAAGGTTAGAAATCGAATATGTGATCAGTTCGCGAATTATTGTCTAGTATGATATATAGAGTTGTTGAGCAGTGAAGACGTCAAGTATATTTTATATTCTTTGTAGGAATATGAAAACACGTCGTGTCCTTTTGTTAAAATTTGTACTAGTCGTGTATTTTTTTATTTATGAATCATTTAATTTAATTATTTATTTTTTTTAAAAAGACACCCTATTAAAAATTCATGGATCCGCCACTGATAGGGGCTCTTATACCCTTCCAGTAAGCTCGAATGATCTTACACAAAGATCCACTAGTTTACACATTTAGCTCCAAAAACATCAAATCCGGTAATATTACCTTACCTCTTCAAACAACTTTTCATTCATGGCCCTTCATACTTCTTGAGAGAAGCATCATAAAACCGATCCGGTTAAATTAATCCTACACCTCATTCTGTCAAGAACCAGTGGATCATATACCACAACACTAACACGCCCCCTCAAACGAAAGCCACTCACAAGGGCTTGAAGTTTGCACAGGTCCGAAGACAAGAATACCATGTGCTTAACAAATGGGGGTCACCGGGAATCGAACACAAGACCTCTCGGTTATAGAAGGCTCTGATACCATATCAAGAACCAGTTGATCCCAATAACTCGAGTTGTTGGGAGAGGTTCAATCGTGGATCATATACCACAACACTAACACATTCTTCGTGAACTGTGATTATGTAATAAGCACACAAGGCCGACAGGGGTAGTAAAGCAAACCAGTAAAGAAGTCTTTGATAAGAATACACAAGGCGTGGTGGAGGAGTTTTAGAGTACAAATTAATTCAAGGCTAGAACAAAATTGAAAAATAGAAGGAACCAAGAAAACAACAGAAGAAAAAAAACACATGGCCTACAGATATTCTAACTATAGTGTACAAGATTCGAAAGAAAAGAAACAACAAAATTAACATGGAGCAGATCCATCGAAAGTAATGTAATGTAATCTCTCTCTCCCGGGTCTCGCGTGAGAAAATGCGATGAGACCAGACCAGAGTAGACCAGAGCAGAGAGTTAAGGTTGTTGTTGTTGTAGTGTTTGTTTATGGGACAGGGTAGGACTTGTTGCGGCACATGCATTTATAAGCCATGGGGCATGTCTCTGCTTCCTCCAAGGAAGCGCACACAAAGCTCACCATCACCAGCCGGCACGGGTAGCACGACCCACACGCGTGCGAGCAGTCGGGCAGCCTCGACCCTGCTATCTCCACCGTCTCCGGTCCGCCCCTTCCTCTCCCTGCTGCACCTCTCCTCCTCATCTCCGTTCTGTAGTAGTAACTCGTTGCTGCTTCTTCCACTTTCTTATTACCATGGTGCCCGCCGTGATCTGGTTCCGAAAACAAATTAATAAGCACATTAATTAATACTCGCGCGGAACGACAACTACAAACAAATTAGTTTAAGATGGCAGCAGAGTACTTACGTGGTCTGGTCGTCTTCGTGATGTGCCTTCCGGACACGAGGTGTAGAGGAAGAAGTGAAAGGGAAAGAAGTAGTAGTAAGAAGCAAAATGTGCAGTAGCCTTTCATCTCTGTTTTTAACTCAAGGATTGAGAGGTTTGTGATGATAGGGTTTTGAGAAGGGGTGAAGAAGCTTTTGAGATATTGCAGGCCTTTTGTATGGCTTTCTATGTGTATAGATATACGAGCTGCGCTAGAGAAGAAATGGGAGGCAGAATTGAAGCAAATCACAGGCAAGTTGATGGTTACCAGCGAAAAGGATCACAAGAGTGTCAGGAGGTGGTATAGAGAGAGAGAGAGAGAGAGGGGCAAATGGGTTTAAAAGAAGCCACACAAGCTAGAGGCAAAATACGTGGAAACTGAATTCAAGAGCTCCTTTTACGTGATTTTCTGACTGCTTTTGGCTGTTGATTTTAAGTGGGCAATGCAGTGGGGGGAAGGGCTGGCTGCCATTAATGCCTTAGGGAGGGAAAAGAATTGAGTTCAAAATTTTTTTTGGTGCTGGAAGAAGTTAGGCCAGCTAGGTAGGCCGTGTTGGTTCTTTGAAGTTGTACTGTAAAGACTAAAGTGTAAACGCGGTAATAAATTGGAAAGTGAAGATTTAATGTGATTGTCATCAATGTCAGCTCAGCTCAGCTCAGTCAGTATATATATGCTCGGCCTAATAACTCTTGTGTACGTTGCAAACTTTGCATTCGACTGATTTTCTTCAGTCGGCCAGATGGGTGCATATCAATTATTATATCCAAAAAAAATTTGGGTTTTAACTTTTACCTATATTTATACTCATACAAAAATCGAGTAGAATATCAACACCATACTCATATTTAATCAGGTTTGGGGTATCCATGGTTATCTTCAATCAACATGTTAACAATTCAACATATACTAATAGAACATAAAAAAAATTACAACAATAAATTACTAGAACAAGGAAAATTAATTAAAGAAAATAAAAATATTATTGTATGATAAATATCAAATATGTTGAGTCATTTTCATGCAAAAAAACATACATGTATGTTTTTTGTATGAAAATGACTCAACATATTTGATATTTGCATATGTATAATCGGGTGGGTTCGGGTAGGATAGTGAGAAAATTATGTCCACCCATCACCTGCAATATTCAGGTTTGAGTTTTACCCTAATCGATTAGATTGGATTTGGGCTTACCCAGCTTGTGATATCTCATTGTCCTATATGTGTGTGGGAGGATTAGCTACGCATTCATGCATCATAAAGGATCAATAGATCGGTATCCACATATCTGGTTATTTTTGTCATCCGTAGTCAAAGGGTAGAAAAGGAAACAAGAAGGAGTATGTATGTATTCACTTCCACATACTCGTTTCATTCATCCAAGTCCAACATATATTTGCACACGAAAGCCCGCGCTACCCGACACACCGTGAATTTAGTAACCTGAGATTATAAATAAATAGTTCAGGTTATGAGAAGTGACATTATCAATTTATCAAATAATAGTTTTAAACATTGTCTATTATATGATTGATTCGAGTCATTTTGTACATGTTTTTACCCCTTTGTATTTGTTGTTTGACTTGTATAGCATCGTTCTTGGAGCCATTTTACTCTATGTTTGGTATCTTTTAGTATGTTGCAGGCTCTAGCAGATGAAATGTGCGAAAGGATCGACAGTCGGACGGAAGGGAGCCAAAATGGGAGAAATTAAAGTGCTGAAAATTGCATGGATCACGGTTCACAACATATGTTTACAGGCAAGAGGGCGTAAAGATTACCCCTAAAACGTGAAGCGTGCAAGTTTCCAGGATCATTTGGACGTCTTGTGGGCATTGCACAAATCACGAGCACAGGGCGTGAAGATTGCAAGGAAACCGTGAAGTGTGCAAGTGAAACGATGCATTTTGTGTTGACGTTACGATTTTACTACACATATCACGGTCGTGACGCGTGTATACGGGTGAGCTGTGAGTCGTTTTATGCGGATTTGGGTGGGTTTGGAACCACCCACTCCGTGGTGGGTGAAAGAGAAAGTGACCCACACCCACCTATACATTACATGTGAGTGGGTTGGGTGATTGTGGATGATGGGTGGTTGGATGGATTCGGTGGGTTTACAACATATATTGTATATGATCACATAATTCCAATAGTTTTAAACTTAAATGAAAAATATTCAAACTAAATATAATGTTTAATCCATAAATGAGGTGAATCATTTATTTTACAACATTGGCATTGGTAATTATCCACAAATTACAAAATATTCAATTGATAAACATAGTATCAGTCTGATAATAACCAAGGTTCGAGAAGGCACTAGGCATAAGGCAAATGTTTTGATCTTGCCTAGTACCTCATTAGCCAGGGCATTGTAAGTGAAATAGTTTTTTAATCTATAGTCGCAAATTACAATTTCAAATTGATGGTAGGAAGGACGAATCGGTGGTAGTTTGAGATGGTGACGTTTTAGGGAAGAAAATTGTCTTTGTTTCTGCCATTTTGTCTACTAGTTATACTTAAGCTTGCCTCCAATTTCCTAACCACACCTCACAAAACTATCCTTTAATCAAAATGGAGAGGAATTTTTATGTTTTTAAGGATTTTATTTTTGGTAAACCTATAAGTTAGAGCTTTGATGGTTTGAGGTTAAGAAGTTGGGTGGGTAGTGGGTCAACCACAGTCCACCGTACCCACCCAATCTTTTGTGGGTCACACCTATTTTACAACCCACACCCACCCATAAGAACCACCCACATGATAATGGGTGGGTCAATTGCGGGTGGTTTTGGTTGGGTTTGTGGGTACAACCACCCAATGCTCACCCCTATGCGTAGGCTTGAAGATTTCACTGCGGGTATATATTAGTATGAAGAGTGAGAAGATTTCAAAGAGAGAAGCGTTTTAGAGAGCGAGAGAGAGTTGGATCTTCTTCTCCAGTTTAGAGAGAGAAATAAACAAACCAAGGATGTTGGAAGGGGAATTTGAGCTCTCCAAGACCAAAGAGGTCAGATTTCATCTTTAACACAATCCCAACTAACTACAGAATGGAGGAGATTCATCTTTTCATGGGTTTTCATTCTGTATAGTTGTATTTCTTTCTCTAGGCATGAAGTAGATTTTCTATTCACTTGGATGATGTCAACCCTAGTCTAGAATGTTGTAGTCTGATAATTGTGAACTCTATTTTTTGATTGGCATGATTGTTCATATATTGATTGAGTATTTATCATGATAATTGAGAGTCCTTGATCAATTTCCTCAATTTTGGGCCCATTAATCTAAGAAAGAGAAGATCTCCTAAGGATAATTTAGGGCATTATTAAATCATCGTAAGGTGGCCATAAATGAGGGTGATTGGTTTCTTTATACCGTTCCAAGTCATCGCCCAAGGGAGTGGATTTGTTGCCCTAGTTGCCTAATCCTGTAGTTTTATAGACCTATACGGTTAGAGCATTTTGGTGGGTTAGAAGTTAGAACAACTCGAATCGGGACTTCTAACTATCTTTGATCTCCTAATGGTGTACTATATGCAAATCACACTAGAGTCACGTCATTGAATTAACATGTGACTAGGGGGATAATCATCTGAGTGAAGCTTTTCTCATTAAATTCAACATTATTTTACTTGCATTTTGTTAGCTCACTACCAAAAAGGTGAATGCACCAAAGTAGCCATCATATATATATATGGTTATGTCTTCGGTGCACTCACTTCATTAAAGTTCAAAATTTATGTATTATGACCACTTTTAGAGTTGGATGCATTGAATGCACAAAAAAAAAAGTGAGTGCACCAAAGTGGCCATCTATATATATATATATATGGCAAAGGCTAGCGTACACCTTACGTATGCTATACGCCTGTGTTCACATTTATTAATTAATTAATTAATAATGATTAAAAATATAATTAATTATAAATTATACCTACATTCATTAATTAGTTATTTTGTACGCTTTAGTTCCCAAATAATTTTACCACCCATTTTGCTTACATCAATCATTTAAGTATCCATTAAACGAAATATAGTCTCTTAGTTCTCTAAATCAGAGTTTTAAACACCAAACTTTGTGTTGATCATGAAGAACCCCCAACAATATTTTTTAATATATTCATCGGATTTGATTTCGTTTCATCTTCAACATAATCACCCAAACTGAAAACTATAAACCCTTCCTTTCTTTCTAAAAAAAGCAACGCACTGTTCAAGAAGTTGAATGAAAAGAGCAACTCCTTTCACCATCGACAAATTCTAGCCTACAAATCTTCTCAACAAAACCATAAAGTTAAATGGATAAAAGTGGGATTAATCTTAAATGCCCAATTAACACCAGATTAGAGTCGCGTATACGTTTCTACAGTTCCTCAACGACAATCGCGGTTCGATCGATCCCGACGAATCTCTTCAATAGACGTCAATCCCCGGATTCTTTCTCTACGAGAACATCCCCGGTACCCTCCCGCCATCAACCTTTGTGAAGTGCTATATATACACGATTTTTTCAAATTTTCTTCAATTTTATGCTCTGTATTTCATAAATGGAAGTTTCTCCCTAGGGTTAAGAACTTGTCCGTCAGTTGGGAAGAAGATGATGGAAGTACACTTTTGCAATAGGCTTCACGATGACTTTGGCCCACGGTGAATAAATTTGTTGCAACAGACTTAAGCCCAACCTTCTCAAAGGAGAAAACACCATTACTTGCCCAGTTTATTGTACTCGCTTATCTCTCGAACAACTACCTGGAGAAGACGATCCACTCTTGCGTCTCATCCCCCTCACCTGCTTCCTGCCAGTGATCGAGCTCATAATTTGATGACGAAGAGGAAGACGAAGGGGAAAGGTAAAGGGAGAACAAAGATGGGAAGTAGAAAGAGTTAGGAGATGAATGATCTGTGGGTATGTGAAGTCTTTCTCACTTCTCAGATAAGAAAATCAATATTACGTTGCGGTCGTTTAAGGTTTTAGATTAAATTTTAGAGGTACTGTCAAATTCCCAGTTATAACTTATAAATGAAATGAACTTGGATGGACTCTTACAAATGACGATTGAACTATTTTTGCAATAAGAAATGTGTGCATCATAAATAATGATTATAAAAAACTAACGTTCCTTTAATTTTGAACACCAACCCAAAACCCCAAATTATGAACTCTAATCCTAACCCTAAATCCCTAAATCCTAAATTCTTCAAATTAAAGTAAATTTTGAATGATTTTTTTTCTAAATTCATGGGTTTCATATCTATCACTTCACAAGTGATAATTGACATCATTTTGACATGAATCGTCTGCTCAAAATGCCGATTATAAGGCGAGTACATTGA